AGGTTCATATATCTCTAAAGTTGGTGTTCATTTCCTTACTCAGAAGAAATATAATTAATAGATTTTGTTTATAATTTTTGAGGAAATTTTATGCTGTTTTCCATAGTGGGTGTACCAATTTACATCCTTAACAATATGGTATTAGTTTTCTCCATATCTTCACCCACTCTTATAATTTATCATCTTTTTTTATAATAGCCATTTTAACTATTATAAAGGGAGAGATTCTATATAAGATTCTATAACTATATAAGGGGAGAGATTCTCACTGTGGCTTTGAGTTGCATTTCCCAGATTATTTGTGATATTTTTATGTACCCATCAGAAACCTGATCTTTGTGGAAAATATCTAAATCATTCTTCTGACCATTTTAAAAACAATTGACTTTTTTCTGCTTTTTATGAACTTTCTTGTTTCAAAGCATAGGTGTATATTGCTATAAATATCTGTCTTTGAATTACTTTACTAGTGTATTATGTTTTCACATTAATTTGTCTCCAAGACACCGAATTTTTCTTTTTTTCTTTTTTTTTTTGTGATTTGGGCCACGTGTTATGATGTTTGGGGATACTCCCAGTGGTTCTGTTGGGATCAGGTGGTATAGGGGATTAGACCCGTAACTTCCTTATGAAAAGAATGAATTTTTTCTCTATCTCCAGTCTCTGAAGATGATTCGAATTTCCCCTTTAATTTATCCCTTCATTTATTTATTGTCTAGGAGAGTACAATAAAATTCCCAAGTATAAGCAAATTTTTCATATTCCTTCTGTTATCAATTTTAGTTTTGTAGTGTTGTGGTTAGAAAATATACTTGGTATTATTTCAATCTTCATGAATTTGCTAAAATTTCTTGTGGCCTAACATATGGTCTATTCTAGAATTGTTTCATTTGTGCTTGAGAAGAATGTGTATTCGGCTTTTGTTGAATAAAATGTTCTGTGTATGTCTGTTAGGTCCATTTGGTCTATGTTTTGTTCATATCTGCTGTTTCCATAGTGATTTTTTTTCTTGAGAATGGGTATCAATGACCCCTAAAATCAATAAAGATCCTAAGAGTTCTTATCACAAAGAAAAAACAATTTTTAATTTTCATATATTCCTGAGATGATGGGTGTTAATTAAATTCATTGTGTGAATAGTTTTTAAAAATATAACAATATAGTTATTATACTGGAAAAACAAAAATACTGAGTGGAAAGCTAGCCCCTGATCTCTTGCATGATATTTAAAAATATATAATAGCCCAGAATTAACTGATAATATGAATCACAGAGGTGCTCTTTGAAGATTTAGAGATAAAATTCAATGGAGAGAAGAATTTAAAAGTTCTCCTACATGCAGCAACTGAGATTTTCTGGATTTAAGTCCTGAAGGCAGATTATAGTGGTTAAAAACATGGCTGCTAATCACATTGCTTATATTTTATGAACATAAGAAAATTGCCAACCTCTTATAGTCTTCAATAAAATAGAAATGATAAAATTAGTATCTATCTTATAAGGCTGCCTTCAGAATAGTTCCTGGCACATAGATGTACTCAATACATTTAAGCTGTAGTCATTATTAAATAGCAATTCAGCTAGACTTTGATTGCTCTAATGCAGTCATGAGTGCTAGTATAACCATGAAGATTTTGAGAATTGAATATCTACAAACTGCATTAGACTAGAATCTAAATAATGCAGATCATATTTGACAGCATATGATTAAGTACACTAGCAAATCCTATTTTAGTATAGCCATTTCAAACTAATTATCTCTTTCGCCAAGAAAAAAATGTTCACTTAAAACACTTTCCTTGAAACCCTGGGAAAAATTCATACATAGAGAAATCAGGGCCTACTGTTTTCTCGAATAGTTTTATTGTTTGTTTCCCATGTCCTATCATTTATTTATTATGATGCACATCTTATATTTCTTATACATGTATCTGCATATAAATTATATGTGTTAACATATATTCATATCTATTATTAAAATTGTTATATTAAATATGCTCTTGTAAACCTGACATTGCACATGAAAATTTCTGTATGTTTAGAATTGCATATAATACAGATTTTCCCATTCTTTTGGCTGGAGCGATAGCACAGCGGTAGGGCATTTGCCTTGCGCACAGCCAGCCCGGCCGAGCCGGGTTTGGTCCTCCACCCCTCTCAGAGAGCCGGCAAGCTACCGAGAGTATCTCGCCTTCACAGCAAAGCCTGGCAAGCTACCTGTGATGTATTGGATACGCCAAACACAGTAACAACAAGTCTCAAAATAGAGACATTACTGGGCCCGCTCAAGAAAATCGATGAACAACAGGAGGACAGTGCTACAGTGCTACCCATTCTTTATTACTGCATAAAAGATATTGGTATAATTGATAAGCTATCTATTTAGAATAATAGTTCCAAGTTTTCTCTCTTACAAATAACTTTGATATCTTGTACTTACATCTTTCATACAGTGTTAATTTATATTAAACTATTATTAGATTATCAGAATAAAATTTAAAATACAAATTTGCAGTGAGTTTGATAACATTTTATCAAAATGTTTTTAGTAAGGAAAACTAAAATATATGTGTGTATATTGTTATAGTCAGTGAGTTCTCAAGTCTCTGTTGTAGAGTTCTCTGGGCAATAGAATAAATCATGACTTTTATATTTTCTTCTTTTTATTTCTCATTTTAAGTAAGAAAAACAGGTATTTTTAAATTCGTGGAAAATTTTCTTCTAGGGAATTTAAGATTATATCAAATATCAACGAGGCACTGTACTTAACACTGTTGTTCACTGTACTGAACACTGGACACTGTGTTGATGCATTTATATATATTAAAGTGCCATGTATTGTACACAGCCGTGCACAACCATATGGGGCCGTGTCCTGTAGAAACCCACTGAAACTAATTTCAAAGGAAAGCAGGTTTGGAGCATCTTCCAGCTAGTACAGGTGGAATATGTATTTCAAGTGAGTTTCCTAATGCACTAGTGTAGAATAATCTGGTGTGAATTCATTTTGTTTTGTAGGGCCTTTTAGCTCAGGCTCATTGTCAATATTAACAAATATGCAGATAATGGCCTTGTGATGCCCATAGGAGATCCCCCCCTCCACCCTCACCCCAGGACACTTCTTCAGTCAAAAGTGGTGTTTCCATTACAGTGGCAGTAGTAGCCACTTGGATATTATATGAACTCTAAACCATTTCATGAAAACTTTTCATCCAACATTCATCTTTTTTCTAAGTAGGAACAGTAATAACAATAAAGAGCAATGATCAATTATATTGTAGTGGATGTGGATAGTGAAAACAAAAAAAGTCTTCCTACTGCTAATGTTCTAGCCTTCTTTCATATCCTGGGATTCTAGTACCGTTTATAAACCTTCTTACCCTTTATTTTATAATTTTTAAAATTTCTTATTTCTTGGGCTGGAGCGATAGCACAGTGGTAGGGCGTTCGCCTTACAAGCGGCCAACATGGCCGACCCGAGTTCGATTCCTCTGCCCCTCTCGGAGAGCCCGGCAAGCTACCGAGAGTATTCGATATGCCAAACACAGTGACAACAAAGTCTCCAATGGAGACGTTACTGGGCCCGCTTGAGCAAATCGACGATCAACGGGAGGGCCTTTACCTTTACCTTTACCTTATTTCTCCAAAGTTTTCATTCGATGACTGATGGCCTAAGTTCTCAGTTTCCTGATTCATGTGCTTCTAATCTTTTAGCTCTTTTCTTATTCATGCATCTTAGTCAGGTTAGATACAATTTTAGTTTCTAAAGGCATCACATTTGTGTTTCAAAGGTGCCTTGCTTAAAAAATTTCTCATCATGCAGGTCAGAAAGGGGAAGAAAGAGTAGAGCAGGGAGCTGATGAATTTTGAGGTTGGTGAAAGGCAGCAGAACTAGAGAAGACCAGTAACTGTTCTATTTCAACTCTGGTCAGATGAGGGAGTGGTGTTTTTCCTTACGTTTACAGAAACCTGTTACCTCATCATCTAGCACTGCATTGATGGTGAAAGAAGCCTAAAGAAGCAAATAATTGTGCTATGTTGCTGCTGAAGGAGTTAGAGGTCTTTGTTTAGTTCTTATTTGTTTGTTTGATTATGCTTTTTTTTGGGGGGGGGTTAAGGAGTGCTTATATCCAGCTGTGCTCAAGGCTTACTCCTTACTCTGACCCCTGGCATACTCCTGACATGGCTCAGGGGACTTTATGGGGTTCTGGGGATTGAAGCTGGGTTGGCATGGCAAGTACCCTAACCACTGTAGAGTGTTCTAACCCTAGTTCTTATTTTGATAGCTTTCATTCAATTCTGGTTTACAGTGGTAGGGCATTTGCCTTGCACGCAGCCAACATGGCCGGCCCGAGTTCGATTCCTCGGCCCCTCTCGGAGAGCCCGGCAAACTACCGAGAATATCTCACCCACATGGCAGAGCCTGGCAAGCTCCCCGTGACGTATTCGATATGCCAAACACAGTAACAATAAAATCTCCAATGGAGACGTTACTGGGCCCGCTCGAGCAAATCGACGAACAACGGGAGGGCCTTTACTTTACCTTACTTTACAGTTATGAAGTTAGCATAAATTTCCTGAGTGCCTTTCCCATTTTTCTAGATCTTTTTATCCTCTATAACCTATGGAGGCAACTTTTACAAACTCCAAAGTAAAGAGCACTTCTTTAGAAGCTAGCAATTCTTCCCATCCCCGTGTTCAGTGGCATTGTATTGGTACCTAGACTTTGAAAGTGAAATGAACATTTACGCCATTAAAATCGGAAGAAGCTATAGTTAAGAGAATCTCACTCCAAGAGAACCTGATGGAGATGGGTGAAGAGAGAGAGAGGGGACCAGGAGAGAAAACACATAGTGTTTGGCAGGTGTTTGGCCCTTGGTGATTTCCAAGAGGAAAAATCAAATAACTTAAATTTACTTCTCACTTCCCACCTTGAATTCTACATTTACTTTTTTTAAAGGCCAAAAATGTGCTAACTTTTTTTCCTCTGTCTCTCCTAGTGGATGGCTGTATTCACAGAGCAGCTGGCCCCTGTTTGCTGGCTGAATGTCGTACCCTGAATGGCTGTGAAACTGGACAAGCAAAAATCACAGGTGGCTATGATCTGCCAGCGAAATGTGAGTCGAGCTCTTTTGAGCACTTTTAAAATCAGATGATCACTCTTACTATGTTTTATTTCCCAGTACAGAGTTGAATAAGGAAATGGCAGTATTTGATTAACTGTCTTTATATTTAGATTTTTATGGTTTAAAATGTTTTCTAAATATATCTCATATAAGCATATACTGTTTATCTATAATATAGATATACTCTTAGACATTTGTGATATGTACACGTATGCATAGGCATTCATAGATATATATGATGTTTAAATGTAGATGATTTTTGCTAAGTCTTTAGCAGAGGGTCTCTAAAATAAAAAAAAATACTTGAGCAAAATATACATTATAGTATTTAAGTGCCACAGAGTGACAGGTTCTAGAAATGATGCCAATTTCTTATTTCTCGTTCAGGTTTCTTGATTGTGGATATGTTTAGAGCAAAAGAGATCAAAGTGATGTATTGTGTTTTCAGCTGCCATGTAAAGGCTGATTGGCAATTACAGCCAAGGCATCTGTCACACTTTGCTTTCAGGGAAAGCCAATGGAATGTGGTTGTCAGTGTGAGACTATATTTGCTCTTTGAATGCCGAATGGTCAAAATTTCCATTATATTTGAATAGAACAAAGTATTGAATTTGATTGACCTTGTTGCTTAGCATTTAGCCAACTGGGTAGAGTGCTGTATTTTAAAAATATCATGAGTGAAGCTGGTTAACAGTAAAGGGGTGTGTGTGTGTGTGTGTGTGTGTGTGTGTGTGTGTGTATGCGCGCGCGTACGCGTGTGTATTAATCACGTAATCTTCAGGCCACAGGGAGTAAAAGTAGTGCCTTTCAGCGTACCATTAAGGTGTGCATTGATCCAGAAACTGAGGCACCAATTTTTTTTTTTTTCTTTTACCTACTTCTTACAATCTTGACTCGGTCTCTGAAACATTTTATAAAAAAAAATTTAAGCTGGTTCTATTTCCATTTTAAAGGTGGGACAAAATCTGAAAAAAAATTATCGCATGTACTAAATGATACTCGAGTCCTTTATAGACCGGTTATGTAAGCATGGATTTCCATGGCTATGAATGAGTGGAGAGATAAGAGTTATATTTTAATGCTTACTTTAGCAGATATTTAATTTTAGAGTTAGCTGTAAATATTGATGTATTGAAATGGTGTTTCTATTTTAAAACTTTGTAATACTGCACTCTGTATTTCTCATGGGTTGCCTGTGAAGGTATATCAGCTATATACTTTTTCCTTAATGATATTCTTATTTTTCTTTATTAGTGTATGAAAAGTCAAAATTACCCCTAATGCATGGTTCAACTATATTCAAACATATATATATATATATATATATATATATATATATATATATATTCCAAACAAAGTACAGTGGTTTTTAGAGTACTTTTCACTCTTAGAGAGTGTCTAAATATTTAGAATTTTTCTCTTCAGAATTATATTGGTCTATGTTTTCAGTTACACACACACATATAAAATTGTTTAGGCTTGGGGTTGGGGAAATGCTTTCAGGGATTTAACCCAGGACACATCATACATGCAAATCATGCATTTAAAATTCCTCATATCTTAAATTATATTTTATATACATTGTGTGTATTTATTTTCCCCTTTCCTATCCCTCAGAGTTGTTTTTATTTTTCATCAATTTGTTTAATCTATTTTAGAGTCATTAGCAATCCACAGATGTGCTTTTGTAAAGAGAAAATGAAAAGGGAGCTCATTACATACTGTTTGGGTCATTTTTCCCCTCTCTATTTAATAATTCCATGACAGTTTGACAGCAGAGACTAGTTCCTATCTGTCCTCTGTGACAGCAGGTTTATCATTGTAGAGGTACTGAAGTCAGTCATCCAGCCACCAGTGATAATATCTTCATGCATTAGCAATTTGTTTGGGAAATGCTGTTGTCTGGGTAAGAGACTTGATAATTTTGAACTGGTCTTTGCTTTCTTTATGCTAGCTAAATTAATCAATTCATAAATGCTTGTGTTTAATTAATAAACTTGTATTCTCTATTCTGTGATTCACTGTGGTTGGTCAAATGATAAGTTTCAGATATTTAGGTTGTTCTTCACTGCTTGGGAGTTTTGAATTATTTCTTTTAACAGAGTATCCAAGCATTCATTTCCAAAGTAATCTATAGAATAGAGAGATTATTGGCCAACATTTCACTAAAGATGGTTGCTACAGAAATGCTATTGAAAGTGGACTAGGGAATGATTATAAAATTTGACTTTTTGAGAATTTCTCTTTTACAATTTTAGATATTTTATAGATTCAGAGAAATTTTAAATGTCTCTGGATTGTTACATTCTTTTTAGTGTGAAGTGTACTTTTACCCATGCTCTCGTCATTCTGTCAGACATTTCATGTGCAACAGGGTTTGTCCATCTCAGACATGGACAATCAATATTCATTTCAATCAATAGTTAGCATAATACTTCCTCACTGTGTGCAGAATTAATGTATATGAGTGATTGATCAAAGAAAGAAATTGTTTTAGATCTTTCACATTGAAAACAGCTATTTAATTGTTGCTGCTATTTCTAATACTATGCACGTGAGATCCATTCTGTACAGTGCTGAACGACTAACGTTCCTAAATTAAGTCCTTAGAATTATCAACTAGTACATGACTCTCTAATCTCTCTTAACACCATCTGCTACCTTCCTTCTTTCTCACGCAAGATGTTTTTCTTGATGTTCACTGTTTTTGCATTAGCATTTCCTGTCTGGATCCTTATTCTTCTAAATATCTACCTGGGTTTCCCTCTGTCCTGTTTCAAGTTCCTGTACAACTGTGGCCTCAGATGTCACCGTAATCATCTACTTATTCTCTGGTTTACATATAATCCTAAAGCATTTAACTTTAAAAGACCTTATCATTTACTTAACTTTTTTTATTATCTGTGGAGTATTTGTTTTTATTGCTTTTTCATTTACTGCTGTATGATTAATCTTAGAAAAATGTGTGGCATATAGAAATAGGTAAGGTATAGTTGTTGAATGAATACTTAACACTTAACTACACTTAGCAAAATTCTTCAGTTTTTTTATACGATCACGATCACGATTATCCTGTTGTTCGTCGATTGCCTCAAGCAGGCACCAGTAACGTCTCCATCCTAGCCCTGAGATTTTAAAAAGTGCCATATTCAAGGCTCTTTCAGGGTTAGGAGAATGAGACCCATCATTGTTACTGGTATTTGGCATATTGGGTACGCCATGGGGAGTTTGCCAGACTCTGCCGTGTGGGCAGGTTACATTTTTTTTTATACAAACATGTTAATTTGAGTACGTTTGGCTGGAATATCTTGAACTATTTACAGCATCTAATAGTATTTGAATTGTTCCCAATAATATGTCTGTGCATAATTAGAACTATCTAGAAAGCTTTCTTCTGTTCATTTTATCTTGTTCTAGGCTTAACTCAAATATTACTTCTTTTATTTTAATTTGATTTTTAGCTTATTGATGTTTATTTGGGGGAGGCAGGTGATTCTCAGGGGTTACTCCTGGCTCTGCACTCAGTAATTACTCCTGACAGTGCTCAGGGGACCATATGGGATGCTGGGGATAGAACCTGGGTCAGATGCATTCAAGGAAACTGTCCTATCTGCTCTACTATTGTTCATGTCCCTCAAATATTACTTCTGCCTTGAAATTAGTTTTTCCTTATCAACTCAGCTAAAAGTGCTATTTCCCCTCCGCCATACTCCAGAATATTCCATGTTAGCATACTAAGGGCATTTGTTTATGTTCTATTTCTTAGTGTCATATGTGCACTTACTACCTTTCTATTAGTCCCTTATTTATAAAGGATACTAGAGAAACATCAAACAAAATAATTGATTATAAACAGACTGGTTGATAATTGGTTCTGGGTGGTGGTGTTGATGTAGAAGACAAGTTATACTTGTATCCCTAAGAAATAATGAATTTAATGTGAATTACCCATTGTATTTTGAAATACTGTTTTATCATACATGTAATTCAAAAGTTTATCATCTAAGAGAAATGCACTCCTAATGGAGTACTTCCTAAAAATGAACTGAAAAGAGTAAAACGCTATATAAATTTTATTTCATGATTTTTAGCACAGTTCACATATTCTATTTATTGAGAATGTTCTACTTTTAGACTCTAAGCACAAATAATTATCTAAGGTAAGTGGAATAAATATTAAATCTCCATACCTAAAACGGTGGAATCTTTTTCTTTTTTTCATTCTATTTAGATTTTGGAAGACATCAAAAGTTAATATTAGCATCCAACACAGTTTTTCATTAATCATTTGAAAAGAAACTAGTGAGAAAGACCATAGCACAATATGTTTGAATAACATAAAGTGCCATGAATTAGAATCTTTCTTCTATTCCCAGGTGCAATAATAATCAGATGATAGTAGTTTAAAAGGTACGAATGATAATAATTAGTACTTCTCTTGTGCCCTTCATCAAGAAATCATAGTACTTTTAAGCATATGCTCATCAGTCCTTTTGAAATTCCTATGAGGAAGTGCCATGACAAGTAATGACATTTTCTTTCAACATTCACATAAAAAAAAGTCACAAGCAAGATAGTTAAAGTCTTTGCTCCAACAATAAACGAAGCTTGCATTAAGGGCAGTAAGCAAGTATCCCTGAGTTGTGGCAGATGCTGGCCAGTCCTACCACCTGGTTTTGTAAATGAAATTTTATTATAACACAGTCATTCTACTTGTTCATAAATTGTCTGAGGTTGATTTCATGTGACAGTTGAGTAGCTGCAAACAGGAACTGTCTGCCTTCAAAGTCTGAGAAATTGACTAGCATTCTTTTTACAGTAAAAGTTTGCAAAGTCATTACCTGTGAACTCCTAATTTTTTAAGTAAAAAGCTGACATTCTGATATGATGTTTATTAAATCATATCTAATGTATGTATTGTACTCAAATCATTGCTGACAGAGTGTGACTACCCACTATCTGTTTCTAGGTACAGTCCTTGCTTCTGCTGC